TGATCGACGGCAGTCTGGATGGTCTCTAGACGTGAAGTGAAGGCGCTGGCCTCGTAGGGGCAAGTGTTGAGCTCAATAAGCGCCTTCTCCACGGTCGCGTGGATTGACGCCAGTGAAGCGGTCTTGGCCTGGAGCAAGGACACGGCCGCGGCAAACTCTCGAATGAAAAGGCTGTGCTTGCTCTCGGATGGCTTGGAAAGCCCAAATTCGGATACGTTGGGCAAGGTAGCGTTGTTCTTGGTGGAGAAGAAGATCTCGTGAGAGTTGACAAACGACTCCCATCGAAGAGGAACACCTCTGGACACCAGAGCATAGACGTCGTTCCTGTATCCATACACAAGCACGGCTTCCTCGCCCATCTCGGAGATTTGACGCATGGTCTGCGAAAAGGTACGAACGCTCTCCATGAGACTGACTGCGAAAGGGTAGACACGCTTGGCATCCTTGGACACATTGTTGATTGAATGAGGAACAGCATAGTTTTGCCACATGAGGTTACGTGTCTCTTTGAAGAGGGTGATGACCTGAGGATCAAAATTGACCATGAGTTCGTAGCTGTTGCCCGTAGATCGCTGGCGACGAATATCAAAAAGGAAGCCAGAAATAGAGATTTGGCGGCGCTGAACATCGTCGAGCCAAGCCTTGTAGATGGTCTGCGTGTCCAGCTTCTTCCGGAAGAGATTGCTCTCGCTCTGCAGCTTCTGACCTTCGGCGTGGATGGCCCACTCGGAACCCAGCACGTCCTCGACCTTCTTCATGTAGTTGTCGAGCTGATGCTCAATCTGTCGCGCCCAGATAATGGCACCAGAAACAGGCGGCAGATCACGCAACTGAGCCATGGCGTGAGCCTCAGAGTGGCCATACTGTTGCTTGAAGCGCTCGTGAAGGCCGTGGATGGCTTGTTTCACGTGCTCCATCAACTGGTTCTGGTACTCGGCAATAGCACCACGAATTTTTGGGCGCACGAAAAGAGCGTTGAACTTGGAGAAGACGCGGAACATCTCGTTGGCGTTCTTTGCCGTCGCCAGGCGGTCTCTCAGGCGCGCAATGATGGAGTTTTCAACCCGGGAAGTCCGCTCATTGTACATGTTCTCAGCCTTGGCCCATCTCTCGGTGCCCTCAGGGGAAACATCCAAGAGGTCGACGTTCTTCAACGCCTCCCAGGCCTGCTTGACTTCTTCGACGGCGTCCACATCGCCCATCTCTTCAACAACGACTACGCCGTTGGTGTTGGTCGTTTCTGTCAAGCCGCTCACAGTAGCCTTGGGACCGAGAACATTGACAATGGTCCGCTGCAGCTGCTCGTGGTTGTCGCGGAAGGTGCTGACGTACTTGAGACGGCCTTGAAGCTCGGCATGCTTCGGGTTGACCTTGATGGGAATGAACTTTTCGTTTCTCCTACGCGTTACCTCACGCGCGACATTGGTAAACTCCTTGATGCTTTCATCCCATGTAGTGAAGATGTCGTCGCTTGCCTTCATAATGGCCTTGAATTCAGTGTAGTCGAGGTTGACAAGCTCGGTACCGGGCAAAAGTCGGTGCAGCACCTCGTCCAAGTCTCCAGAAATAGCTTCGACCAAAGGGAGGGCTCTCCGAATGGGATACGGGCAGATTCTGAGCTTCCTGTTCAGGTGGCCAAAGATCTGCACGATAGCGTCCTTGACCTTGGACAGATAGGTGGCGGAAAGCAGTTCGTCGAGCGGAAAGTCTCGCATGAGCTGGTTGTACTTTTGCACCTTTTCCATGGCCTCCTTCAAGCCGGTATCGGCCGTGAAACTGACAGTCGCCTGGAAACGCTTGGCGTGCTTGAGAATCTCAAGAGTCAGGAGGACTCCCTCGCTACGGAGCTGTCCTTCGATGCCCTCCAATGCAGACTCCATCGACAGCCAAAAGTTGACCTCTTGACTGGCCGTGAACTTAAAGTCTTTAGCGCTGTCGGCGGGGTCCCTGGTCATCCTCGTAATGACCTGAATCGACTTGATCCAGCTGTTCACATTATTCTGCAAGCTGTTGAGGAAGGTACTGTCGGAGAGCACGGTGCCCGGGATGAGATCGAGTGTGGGTTTCGAGTGTCGCGAATCGGCCTCTTCCAGCGCGTTTTGTACCATTGTATGGAACATGAGGGAGACCTCGGGAATTTCGACGTTCTGCTGGAGATGAAGCAAGCTCAACTCCAAGTCGTTCCATCTCTTCTTGGTGACAGGAATTCCAGTCTTGGAGTCCACATCCGCCCTGCCCCTGGCGCCATTGGTGATTTGGCTCCGCGTGTTGGCATCAAAGTATGGCGCCAGCGCATTATGAACATAAGAGTGTAGGATTTCGAAGGGCGAAGTGGAGGGGCCTTGCTCGCCGGCGGTGGCATTCAAGGTCGCAGGGCCTGGGAGATTAGTCAAGAGTATCTGAGAAGTGAGCGGCAGCGAGGGGTCGATCGGGCCAGGGCGCTGCTTGAGCAGCACGAGGCATGACACGGTCGTGGGAGACGAAGAGATCTCGGTCGTCAGGGAGTATGTGTAGGATGGAGACTCTACACTCAAGCGGTTAGCGGTGCCTGTGCAAGCCGAATAGGGTTCTGCCTCGCGCGGGTTGAACGAACTTGAGTCGTCAGTTCCATTCTGTATCGTGGATACGGGCAAGATGTCTTTCTGAATGTATAGGGCGTTCGGGGTATCGGTAGCGAAGCGGGTGCAGCGCTGGACAGTATCAGAGTAGCGATGCTTGTGAAGCAAGCTCCCGGGGCTTTCGAGGTCCTCGTTGGTCGCTCCGAGAGCTATCTGGCAGACCAGAGCAATGTGGTCGAGAACGCGGCTCGGATCGATCGAGGATTCGGCGGTGGGCGAGGCGACGCCGTTCGCGCCCGGGGTCGGGGTGGAGGCCACCTCCATGGCGGCTCGGGGTATGTGGTATGTGGTTTCGGACGAAGAAGGACGATATTTACAGGGTCGAGGTCGGCATCATCGTGGGTACGACGAATAGACGGTAACGTAGGTGAGCGGACAGTGTGTCTGTCGGGTCAAAAAAGGGCAACCTCAGGGGCGATGACTGTCGGCCGCGAGGTGGACGAGTCGTGATGAGCCGGGGAGCGAAACGAAGAGAAGCGAGAGAATGGAGAATGCTAAAGGAGAGTTGTGGTATCCTTGAGTAGAACGAGGAAGTGATTATCGCGTTTAGGAACCGAGATGTGCTCGTCGTCCCGTTGTCGTCGTCTGGTAGTGGGTGATTATTTGCGGCAGCGGGTTTGATGCGCAGCGCAGATTCCGGGGGTTGTCGTGGGATGAGTCTACGAAATGCAACTATGTAATAAGGTAGGTAGGTCGGAGGTGAGGTGCCCGGTCTTCTGCAATGCAATGTTGACTTTCCAGACGAATTACTGGAGAGTCCCCGGACGGGTTGACTTGTCCATGGGTTCCACTTTCACGTTCGTTTGGGAACTTCTTGTGCAAGTGCAATGGAGCATTCCCGCGAGTAGTGTACAATTACACAGGAAACGGCGGGAAAAGGTACATTGCTCCAGGGCGGTGGTCCTTTCCTTTCCCTGAGATCCAATGTCTGCAAGTTTTAACGCGACCAGGCAGGACCCTTGTCGCGACAGCATGTGTCAGGAGGTTTGCTGGCCACTCAAGCTCAGGTACGTAGACTGTACGTAGACTGCCCGGAGTATCCACCCGGGACTATGGGAGTCTTTTGATTGGCTGCATCCTCTGAGTCTGCCAAATCAAAGCCCCGATCTACCGCGACCAAATCCTCTTTTTTTTTTTTTTTCGCTCCTGTGCTGGCAATGCATGCTGCCAAAGGGAAATAAGAGGAGCCCAGACACGCTGGCCAGGACACGTCCCGTCTGTACATTTCACCTGCACCACTGGCACCAGGCATAAATCTGCATCAGGGTCCCCTCCCTGTGCATGTCTACACTACATTTCGGGACAGGAAACAGTCAGCAGCAGCAGCAGCAGCAGCAGCAGCAACAAGCCCCTCCCTCCCCCTTCACTGGTGGGCTTGCATATCTGTACCTCAGAAACAACAGCTGTTCTTTCTTCACATGCGCATGTCTTAGGTAATGCAGCCAACGACGCGTCTAAATACCTAAAGGTACCTGACCTACAACTACGGAGTACAGAATACCCATCAACACTTCTGCCTCAAAGATCGAGAGCAGCATGATAAAATTGAGATGGTCTTCCGCTCCTGTTCTCTTCACAAATCGCCATCACCTGACTACCTATCACTAGAACCCCCCTGGTCCGTTTGGATGGCTACCAGTACGAAATTGGCCATCCAATCTGCCACATCCAACGCCCACGCCCGCTATCCTTGGGATCCAAAATTACTCTTAAAATCGCCTCTTAATTAGCAGCGACCCCTGGATAGCTCGAGCTTGAGCTGCAGCTTCCCGCCCAGCCCGCGCGCGCCCTTGCCCCACTACCTTACCACTACTTCACCTTTCACTTTACTTTGTTCGATATTTGACCTCAAGATGCTGTTCATTGCCGCATTGAAATCCCATGTTGCGTTCCTTCTGATTTGCTACTTGCCGCGGTCAAGCTGGCTTTCATATATCCGTATGGCCTACGGAGTCTCCGTCTCTACATATTCGACGTTCCCGACGCGACTTCCCGCAGCCTGTCAATGTCACGTAAAGTTGCGTCAAGTAACATGGTCAAAAGTCGAATGCTTGCTTCAGTCATGTTCGCGATAGTTTGCTGGTTGAATCCCACCCAATGCAACCCCGGACTTCCAGATAAACAGAAAGAAAATAATAAAGGACAAAAAACTGCCTGATGACCCCAGCCTCTAATGGGACCGACCTCAGAACACAACCAATAATCGACTCCGCCCCGTTCAAACACCTGTTTCCATCCTGCCTTGCACTTTCGGCATACCGACGGCCATGCTTCCGCGATGCAGAAAGGAAAGCATCGTACAAACCCCTTCTCAAACCAGTTTCCCGATCCCGATCATGCAAGGATACCCTCTGCCGAATCCCGTCCGTCCACGGCCGCACACTACGTGCCGTTGTTGCCAGACCCTTCTGGGCCGCCGAGCCTCTCCCGTTGAACCATGACCCGTTGATTGCAAATGTCGATGAACATTTCAAATCTTTCAATGATCTGGTCCTTTTCCACCAGCTTCTTCTTCAATTCGTCCACCTCTTTTTGTTTGTCCTCCTTGTACTTGTCAAAATCCTCGCGTGCCTTGGCGAGTTCCTTTCGGAGGTCTGCCCGAATCCTCTCTTCTGCCGTGGGGTGTGGTTTGCTATATATAGCCGGTCTGTTCTCTGCCAATCCCGTAGCCACCTTTTGCGGGTTGCGATTGATTGCCGCTCTGGCATTGTAGATGTCGCGAGGGAGGAGGGGAACGTGAGGATTTTCGCCTTGCAGTATCTCCAGTGTCTCGTTCACACTAACCCCTGTCGAAGAGTCAGCGGCTGCTCTTTCTCGTGGTGTTGTCTTTGCCGGCTCACCATTCTCCTTGAGAGCTTTGACGGCGGCCACCATCTTGCTGTCTAGCTTGCGAGCTGCTGGGTGGAGGAGCGGGCTTTCGCTAGGGCCGTGGTTGTGTTGCAGATGCTGAGGATCCGGTCGGTATCGAATCGTCCACTGGGTCCGCTGCTCGATGGCAAAGAAGCCGAATTGGCAGTCGCATTTACGCGATGACGTCTTGCGCTTGCGGAATTCGGGGCTGACGCGACTCGGAGGCTTGCCTGCCCGGTCACACACGAACAGAACCTTTTTGAGCCCAGGAACTGTCTTCTTGGAGCGGCCAATGACAATTGCGTAACCGACTGACGTGCAGTATGCGAGAACGCTCTTATGCACCGCCTCCAAGGTTGGGAAGCTGCCTCCCTCGGGAGGAGCAGACATCATCTCTCCCATTGGCGTCCGAGGAACGAATGGCGCCCCATCAACCATCTTTGGCTCAAGGGAATCATCACCCTCGGCCAGGGATGCATCGACCTCCATACTCTCCCCATGGTGATCGCTAGCCTGGGCAGGCGTCTCGGGTCGGGCCTGGGCAGGCTGCTGAACCTGCTGCTGGACTGGAGAGGCCTGGGGCACTTGTTGGGCCTGCTGGACTTGCTGGACTTGCTGAGGCACCTGCTGGACCTGGGTAACCTGCGGCAGCTGCTGCTGAACTGTGGGAGGCGTAGGCTGTGACAGAGTCTGGGCTTGAGGGGTATGCTGCGGCACGATCGGCTCAGACTTGATCTGCTGCTGCTGCTGCTGCTGCTGCTGCTGCTGCTGTTGTTGAGCCTGCTGCTGAGCCTGTTGCTGGGCTTGTTGCTGAGCCTGCTGCTGAGCTTGCTGTTGAGCCTGCTGTTGGGCTTGTTGCTGGGCCTGCTGCTGGGCTTGTTGTTGCGCCTGCTGTTGCTGTTGCTGGGCCTGCTGCTGCTGCTGCTGCTGCTGATGGAGACTGTGCTGCTGGCTCAGCTTTTGTTGCTGGCTAAGAGTTTGCTGGTGTTGCTGTTGCTGCTGCGCTAGGGTCTGCTGTTGACCCAGGCTCTGTTGGTGCTGTTGATGTTGTTGCTGGTGGTGTTGCTGCTGGTGCTGTTGGTGTTGTTGATGTGCCTGGTGCTGCTGCTGGTGCTGCTGGTGTTGATTATGCTGACCCAGACCTTGCTGCTGGCCGAGTCCCTGCTGTTGACCCAGACTCTGCTGATGGCTCAAGCCCTGCTGTTGGCCGAGGCCTTGCTGGCTGAGGGCTGACTGCTGACCGAGACCTTGGTGTTGTCCCAAGCCTTGCTGCTGACCGAGGGCCTGTTGATGGCTGAGGCTTTGTTGACCTCCCAGGCCCTGCTGTTGACCCAAGCTCTGTTGTTGACCGAGTCCTTGTTGCTGACCGAGGCCATGCTGATTGCCTAGAGGGAGGAACAGATTGGGCCCGCCTTGGCCCATCTGCTGCCTCTGGGGCGGCCCCCTCTGGCGTGCTCCCAGGGCGGCGGCATTGGGGACGTGGCTCGGGGGACGCGAGGTTCCGTTGACGTTGCCATTGACGGGCGTCGGTGTCTGGAAGAGGTGATGAGGATATTGAGCCTGGGGCGGCTGCTGAGGCGTGTATGCTTGTTGTTGATAAGGGGACGCGTTATGAGGGCCTGGCGATGGTTTTTGGGCAGGATTCGCGTGTTGCAGGGGCGGGAAGCCGCCTGGGCCGCCGTGACTTCGTCGAAGGCTACCCGGCTGGGGGAAGGCGAGGCCTGGATGGCTGTTTCCCGACTGCCCCAGACTCGACATTGTGTGCCGAGAGAAGGGTGGTCGAAGCCTTTGATGGAGATGAGGGAGGGAGGGTGAGGAGGGCGAAGAAGAAGGAGCGTGAGGTCGGACGTGTGCGTGTGTGTGAGGGTGAGGGGGGAGTCGTTCACCCGCCGAGGCGAGGCGAGGCTTCGGGGGAGAACGTGTCTGGCGAGGGTATCGTCAGAATCAACGGATGGAGAGTCGCGTGGAGTTTCGACTTTGGACGTCGGAGTCGTTGGCTCAAAGTCGTCGAGCCTCCGCTATCGTAACCCGAATCCCAGAGATGCTCAAAAGGATGCAACAAACGAACCCTTGAATGTGGTCTGGGGGTGTCGATAATGGGATTGGGGGGAGGGAGAGGCGTGGAGTGTGTGTGGGTTCTGGGAGGTGTGCACAGAAAAGAAGGGGGAGAGCAAACATGCGAGGTGTGAAGGGTGGTGTGCGAGGAAGAGAAGGGCGGCGGACATGGAAGAGACCTGGGCGGATTGGGGGGGGAGGACGTGGACGTGGACTTGGACTTGGGACTTGGGACTTGACACCAAGGACCGTGTCAAGTCAAAAAGGACTGGCGGGAAAAGGCCAGAGAGCGCTGGCAGCAGCAGCAAAGCACACAGAAAGCCAAAGGGCGATGGGAAAGAACAGTGAGGACCAGGAGGGGGAGACAGGGAAGGGGAAGCCTAAGGTAAAGCTGAAAGGCGACCGGGAGAAATTTTCTGTGGCGCGGGCCTTCTCAAGTTTCCTCAAGGTGCACCCGAACTATTTTTTTGGGCGGGCGCGCATCAAAGAGAGGAAAGGGACGGGGCGGCGACGGCCAAACTCAAGGGAAGGACCTGAAGCCTGAAGGGTTGGGATCGGGACCGGAGCCTGAGGAGTCAAGACTCGAGGGGGAGACCCCACCCACCTCCTTTTGCCCCCCTTGGAGGCTTTGGGCCAGCTGGCATTGGCTGAAGTGGCACACAACACGTGACTATTGGCCCAGCGGTGATGTCATTAAGAACGGACAGAGCGGCCCCCCCTTTTCTTCCTCATTGTTGGCTGTGCCGACTTCTTTTTTTAACCGCTTGCCTGGCAGTGCTGGCGCTCGTCAGCGCATGAGAGAGAGGGGAAAAGAAAAAAAAAAACAATAACAGAGCCAGAAAGGCAACGTGTTTCGTCAAGGGTGAACACGAGAGCAGCAGAATATCGGATTAAAGAACTTGCGCGCGTTCAGCCGGTTCAAAGCGCAGACGCGGGATGGGAGAGGAATCCACAGTGGTGCACATCTACAATTGAGGCTCAAAAGATTGATTGATTGATCTTGACTACTCCCTACAGGTACTCCATCCACTACGGCATCCAGGTGCACGTAGGAATAAGAGGAGGGTGACAGCTCCTGGCGTTTACCCACGTCCCCGAACAGAGGCGTGAGATTGGAAAAATCGCAAGATGGCGGGAGTGTCCGAGTGGGTGGGAAAAGGTGTCACTTGAGGGCTACAAAAGTCATTTTGCGCTGGCTCGACACCTCTCTGATCTGACAGCTGAGGCGTGCTGCGCTGCGCTGGACGCGACTTGATGGACTTGCTTTTTTCTATTCGCACTCCTTAGAGGCAAGGCTGATTAGATAAGCCACCCATAAGGTACCCAGGTATTCGATGGGCCATCACTGCACACCTCAGGTATCCAGATTGCGCTTGTACCACCTTTTTTTGCAGGTACAAGCTCCTCCCAGGGCTCCAGGGGACCTCGACCAGACCACACGCCCACGCCCCCTCCAACTGCTCTGTTCAGGTCCCCTTCCACGACCCCGAATCTCTGAACAGTACGGAGTACGAGTCGAGAAGAACAATTTTAGGTTCTGCATATCATGCCTTCTACATCGGGCCATCAAAGAGCGGACTACAAACGCTGTTGCCTTCTTCACGGCCACGCAAGGTACAAATAAGAGAGGAAGCTCCCATCTCGTACCTTAGGTATCCTACCCAAGGTATCCGTACCTCCCTTACGAAAACACTATCCCGTCCCGCACCCCATGCATTTACGGGGGTTTCGACGGCTCGCTACAGCACCAAGCTCCCCCTGGAAGCCCGCAAATCAGCCTTACAACCCACCCCCGGCACCTGCGCAAATGTTACAAAATCGAGACCGGATAGTGAGTGAACTGGGTGGCCTGTCTGTGCTTTTCGTGGTGCTTTTCTAGTGGGGGGTCCTACCTCCGCCAGTCCCAACGATGTACCTACCAGGTCCGATCCCTGCCCAAGGCTGGGCTATCAAAAGAGTGGCGTGTTGTCATATTGCCTACACCGACCTCACCGAGGTGAATGAGCTCTATGCCAAAAGCTGCTAAAGCTCAGGTTTGCCGGGTGTGTATGGTAATTCTTGGGTAGAAGCCATACCTTTCATATGCTACGGTTTTCTGTATTCGACAAGACATTCGTCAGCAATGTGGCATGTTCAATGTCAACAATCACTAACAAATCAGCTTTATGTGTTGCCTAATTTGTTCTATCCCAAGTTGACTATATGTAACTTGGAAAAGCCCACCCTTTTCGAATATCTCTCTACATAATTACCATCCAGTGTATTCTAGCATACATGTGATTTTCGAGTCATTTCCGTATCAAGCCGGGACCCTTGAATCGTACAGAGATACAAACCAATTCCATTGATAAGTTGCTGTAGGTAATGTTGGAGCCTCGAAACGTACTCCATTGACTGATGTTTTCAATATGAATAATCATGTTGTAATGTCATATTCGTTTTCCGTCATCGGATGCCATGAGTGCGAAACCGAGGGTATAGAATACAGTGTCTTGCTAAACACAACAAAAAAATAGCAACAAAGGAAGAACCCAGGCTCTGTTCGCTCATGTGGTATCTTTACATCCATCCAGTAAACTCCAGAAATCAAACCCCATTCTATCGTGCGGATCACTGTCCAAGTAATCAGGTCTCAAAAACTCCGCTAGTCTCTCTTCTTCCTCTTGCTCGGTCTCCTCTCGGTTTCCCCGTCCACAAAGTGGTTCTTGTCTTGCTGGTGCTGCTTTAAATTGTCTAGTCGGTTCTTATACTGGCTTGTGCACCCCGGAAACGGACACTTGTAAATCTTTGGCGGCGCCGTCGAGTGTTGCATTTTCTTGTGCTTTGCCATGCTCCCCTTGAACCACTGAGGATGGCCTTTTGGCCGGTATCCACAGATTTCACACTTCTCGTTGGCCTCAGCCTCTGTCTTTGGTGCTGAGCTCGAAGGTAGATCTTCCTGGACTTTGGCCCCAGACTTGTCAGGTGCGTTGTTGGGCTGTGTCGTGGATGGTGGTGTCCGGAAGGCCGGCGCTGCTGGAACTCCACCCTCCTCAAAGAACATCTTCAACTGATCCGACAAGCCATTGCTATCTACATCCATGCAAATATCAATATCAGGCATGGACGACGGGATAAGCGGCGCGTCGGTCGTCGTAGTCTGGACATCGCCCCAAGTTGTGTCGCCCAAGGTCGTTGTCAGATTCATGAAATCATCGAGGGCCGCTTCGCTCGTCATCTTGGAAGGGTTTGGAGTGGCCTTCTCCAGCCTCTCCTTTGTGCAGATACCGCGAATGATAGACTCCACCAGATTGATAGCGTATGCGTAATAGCTTATCCGTGAGACAGTCCCTGGATTGGCGTAGAGGACCTCTGACTGCGCCCTGACGGTCGGGACATAATGATTAAAGTAGTTCGACAACACCATGGACCTCTGCTCACGATGTTAGCATAGTACGATAAGAGCTCCTCTGTTACTTGATACTTACTTTACCGGCTTGCATGAGCTCTATCTCTGCTTGCCTGGCGCACCAAATATTACCATCGTTGATGCGCTTCTGAATACGCTTCAACTTTGCACTTAGACCATCGGCGTGAGGGAAGTCTTGGTTGAGTTTGCTACGAATTCCTTTGAAGCTTGCAGACAGTGCACCGTTCAATGGAGCCCGATCGGTGTTGTATCGCCAATGCTGTGCCCAAAGTAGCGAGGTCAAGACTTCGTCCGACTCGGGTTGCCCGCTGGACAGGACAGCATAGTCCAACTCTGTAATCTAGGGTAAGCAGTTGTCAACCAGCTCAAAAGCCAGTGTATACGTACCATCTAGGAAGAACATTGCCACCTCCAACAATTTATCCTGTCCAGGTTCCGGCTGATATGTCGATAGACCAGGATCCCGTTCTTTGCCCTTTTTGCTCGACGACCGAGAAACTTCACCCCCGTAATTTCTTGATAGAACGCCATCCAGTTTCCCGGCAGATAGATCCAAGGGCTGCCAAATCGCTGATGCCACTCGAAGATAATCTGATTTCTCCCAATCAGGGAGCACATTGCCGTACAGAGATGTTTGAGCAAATAGATCCTTGGAGTGGTCCCGAGCACCATCTTCGTGGACGACGAGCGAGATGGAATAGATGAGATGAACGAAGCAAAGGATATCGATGCTGGTAGCAGGTTGTCTACCCTCAGACATGCCCTTCAACGTAACGAGGGCCTTGTCTGCTACTTGTTGCGTCGAGAGATCTTTCAGCTGTGCTACGAGAGCACTATATGGGACATGCTGCAGCTTTTCCAGGGAGGAGCTGATGTGAGTCTTGAGGGTATCCCACGCCGATCCGACGAGCGAGTTGGCGTCGACAACATGATCAAACAAAGCCTCTTCCGAAAGTTTGTTGAGCGCACGAATGTCGAATGTTTGCTGAGCAGGAACATCGGCGGCTTCGGATATTGGGCTAACGGCGGCTGGTATCTCCAATGAGGATGCCGTCTGGTCGAAATCAACGGCCGGAAGTGTCATAGGAAAAGGTTGCAGTAGAATGTCATCTGCCGGAAGCTCCGAAATGAAGTTATATGGCTCCACGCTGTTATTTGAGTATCGACTCGCATTAGAACATCCTCTGGAGAGATATCCGCCAGAGCCGCCGTCAGAGGTCGGTGATGTGATATTTGTCTCGGCAGTTGTCCATGCGCCACTATAGGCAGACGCGGGCGAAATGAGGTAGCTAGCAGTTGTATCAGTGCTCGCGTTTGATCTAAGTGAATTGCTTGGCGATAGATTCTTAGTTCTTGTCGTGGGCTGCAGTTGTTTGCGGGGTTGGCTAAAAACGTCAGTATCAAGGGCCAACAATGGCCGGTCGGCTTTGCCCATGGTATTCTCGCCGATGTCCAAATTATTCTGCGCAAACCAAGGATCGGGCAGAATCGAGTTTGGGTGCTGGAGATTTGCCGGAACCATGCCCATAGATACATGGGGTTGAGTAACCATAGTGTTGCGGTTTGCATTCGAGGGTAAAGGCCAGGGAACTTCGACTGAGTCAATCTCCAAGATCTCCGACGACGAAGAAAGCTCAACTTGGTGTGGTTGGATGTGCAAGGAGTCGTCGTAACTCGGAGGTGGTGCCATGGCGACTTCGGATACGTTGTCCAGGCGGAAGTCGGGAATTCTCTGGTTATTTCTTGACTTATGCCCCAGAGATGAGAAGAAGTTTTTAGCGACGCTCATGATCTTGCGTCTCTTTCCAGGATGGCCGAGGCATCGTTTGCAGTTTCCATCGGTGAACTTCTCGGCCTTGCTACACTCATAGCACCAATACTCGCCAGTGCCAAGCTGAGGGCATTCGTAGAGATGCTCCAGCATAGCGGCATGGTCTGGAAACCTCTTCCGACAGCGAAGCATTGGACATTCGAGACGATCAGTGGCCGTCATCTTTTGAGACTTGTTACGCTGGACGGCGGCCCATACTATGAACCTGTGCAGAGCGCATTGGTCTGGTTTTACTGTACGAGTACTGCGATTCTCATCTCAGCCCAGGATCTACGAGGCTACAAAGGAAGCAAACCAGACTTACACGCATGATGGCGAGGTGGTTGAGTCAATAGATGAGCGGGCCGAAGAGGTTGAAGTCGAATTCGTGGAGCAAGAGTCCCGTCGTGAGCGACCGAAACTGAGGCGGGACGAGGTGAGCGCTCGTAGGGCTGAAGGCGAAGGGCTCTGATTCAGCGAACGGCGGTCATCCCCGAAGGGCGACAGCGAAGTCTTGGACTCCATAGTGCGCCCAAGGTGCTCCCAAGGACGGACAGGTGGAAGTCTAAGGACAAAATTGCAAGGAAAGCAACGGTCAAAGACGGGTCGAGACTGATCCGCCACCCATTTTGGTTTTATTTGTCCATAGGATGAGGTGGATGAAGCCTGCAAGATTGTATCAAGGCTGGTCGGTGTCGTAGGTAGACTCGTAGGACTCTCAGGACTTGGTAGCATCCCTAGGACTTGAGCTGCGGGTCGGGACTGGCTGAAAAAGGTGGTCTCCTCCCGGGCCACCGGCAGATGCTGTGCGTGCTGCGGAGCGAACTTTGGTCAGACTGTCCCGCCAAAGAGCGTCAGAGAGGGGGGAAGAGACATTCAGTGCGGGTCGGGTGCCATCCAATGCCATACCGCGTATCCGTACTCTATAAGGTGGACGGCACGGTGAGGTAAGCAGGCAGGGTGGCAGGCCTCCGAGGCTTCAAGGTGAGAGGACCAGAGGGTCACAGGGCGGAGTGAGATTTTGGCTGCGCATGTTAGCGAATTACCTTACCTTGTGAGGTTCAATTTCGAGTCAACACGGAACCTTCTATTGTTCTTTCAACAAACAGATTTCGAATCAATAAATCGTTCAGGTCTCCTGGTCATGAACACGGATAGGCTCGGCTTGGCCTCTTCTTCCTCTGTTTCTAGGTAGTAGCCTCATAGGACTAACACTCATCAACACTTGCGACAAGAAATGAGGTAGACGGCATCATCCCCCGTCTCAGTCTGGTAGTATCTCGAGATCGAAATATTACCTGGCAACGCTCTGCATCTAGCCAACCACGGTGTTGATGGCTGCGCAGAGGCAGCAAGGCACACAGCCAATGACTGGATGGCGAGCCGCGGTTGGTGCAGGAAACACAGGCTTGAAGCGTACGGAGTACGGAGTAGAATGCCTTGCTATCCGCCTTGGAGTGCGCTTGCATAGACGATTGGTCAGAGAACCGATACTGGTGGTAGCATTGGCGGAATGCAGCACGCTGAGGCTTTCGGAGCCTCCAGAACCCGAGCCCGATACGAGGCAGGCCGAAAGTCCTGGGCTATCCGTAGTCAAGAGATGATATCGTAGGCTGTGCCGCAGTGGCTTTGCACATTGAGCTGTGCTGATGAACACGGAGTTCAGCCACTAGAGGGATGGAATGCCGGCGCAACCAATCCTCCGTGGAATTACAGGAGAGATGGAGTAAGCAACTGCGTGATGTCCTCGCCTCAGAGAGGTAGCGATGAGAGTACCTACTCAATGTCGGCTGGCAGTATCGTGTAGCTGTAGGTGTACGCCGTACACATGGGATGGCGACATGACTTTACGTTAAGTTGTTGTCCCTGCAGACTCTTTCAGCCAAGTGTCGGAAGAAAATTGAGTTCGCGGGAAAGACGGGATCAAGTAAAAGCTGAACTCTCTGAATATTTTTTTGGTTTTCCTAAAGTTTTCCCCCCTGAAGTTTCCTTTCCCACTGCAAGCCTTTAATGGCAGGCACGGGGCTGTCGTGTGAGTGTCATGGCAGTGAAGGAAGGAAAGCAGCAACGCGCCCCTTTGACGGAACCTTCCCAAGTGTTGCTTTCCGACTGAAGACGGCAGGATCCTCAAGGGCAGGTACGCAGGGAAAGAACTCTCGGCATGTCGAACTCACGGGACGGCATTTTGACGACATGATGCCTCACTCTCTTGTCGGAAACCATCATGCTGGCAATCGTCCCAAGTCTTCTGTCATCCGTCGTTCAATTTATTCCCTCCTTGGGCCACACAACTGGGGTTGGCCTGCTGCTAAACCATACCTCGCAGGCCACAACCCTGGCACGGCTAGCACAGATGCTTTGCAAGTTCGTGCAATCGTCCGGCCTTCAGCCCCAAGTTCACGATCACCACGGCAGACACTTCGTGCATGTCGCTTCTCTTCCGGGTTATACCGGAGGTCTGGAAAGCTAACTCTTAGCTGCATCCAAGGCATCGCTCATTTTCATAGACTCTTACCTAGTCGACAACCGGCAAGTCTCCATACAGTAGAGTCCGTCTGCTAGCGACGCTCAGTGGTCTGGGCCACGCACCATCACCCTCCTACTTGATCTCACCGCTCGCTGAAGTTCGATTGCTGATGCATTACTGGACAGTCTTGATGCATTCCGTTTCCTCCCATCACCATCATAGACAATCGTGGTCATGCGATCTACGCCTGCAGTCCAGCCTAGCAACCTGCGCTGTCCCATAGAGTCCCCCCAAGACCGTCGGACATCACTGTCTTGGTTAAAGACCATGTGGAAATCCCGGATGGAGCCCGCCGCTTCGGATAATATCTACAAAAGAGCAACTCCCGGCCGGCTTCGCCGACTCAATCCGTCGCCCGCCCCAATTCGACGACTTTATGTCGACATCAGGCGGCGTCATGGGCTCCACAGCGAATGGTGACATGGGGGGGGGGGGGCGCGCGTTTCGAAGATCTGTTAGGGGAAAGCGGGCCCCTTTTCGGACGATGTTGTATGAAGTAGATGCTGCAACCTATCTTCAAGGAAGCATCTTATTCTTGGCACTTCACGACACGAACCTGCACGAAGACGCCCCATTTGGCCCAGACTCCAGACCAAAAGAAGGGCATGCTTCGGGCAGAGGGCGATCGTCAAAGGGGGCACAGCATACATGCGGCAAAGCTACTTAACCACTGTTTCAAATATCGGGCATGTGGGCGGATCGCCGGTGGCACGGCATCCCTCGACCGTTCCTTTGAACCGCATAGCTAAGGATTCATGTTGCAGGCTGACACGGTCCAATCAGATTCCCAAAGAGCGACAAAGAGAAGATGGGGGCTTAGACATGCATCAACGGCGAGCCGTTGAGTCGTCGAGATTCGAGAGTTCGAGATGTTCTCCCCCGGACCAGAAGAGTTCTAAACCAACCATCACGTATAGCGGCTACGGCGGGCCCAATTCGATGCACCAGGAGCTGTCAACTCGTCGGTCCGTTCTGCTAGCACTTGCATATCGTGTCATATTCGCATAGCTTCGAGCGAACTTCTCGGGGCGAATAAGAGCACAACTTGAGGCGGGCCAAAACATCTTGGCTTGGCTAGCTGCCTTTGAGTTGTCCATCAAGGGGTGGCCCAGATGCGGGGATTTTGTTTTAGTCGATTACAGCTTGCAGGCATCGGTTACAGAATCGTCCTCGACGGGGATCGACATCGACTGGAGTACGTCAGCAGTTGCAGACATATTCTCTGGAGACTGGTCAGCTCCGCCAGAACGATGCTGGCCCCCATATGGCAACATGTGCATTCGTCTGTACGGATACCTGCGTTTAAGTAAATGTTCACGGTGTTGTACAGGATGGGGCTGATAGGCGTAAGTTGAGGCCACTCATCATGCGTGCTTTTCGTAGAGATGCTTGACTGCCGCTCCTTTAGTCAGCAAGCATTGGCTGGTGGCACTGACCAATAGCTGGTCTGCATCGCGACTTATACGCATTCTTGCTCAACCGTTACACATCATGCCATGCGAAGTCAACAGTCGTACAGACTGAATGATGGATTCCCTCCTGGTATGCTTGGCGCAAGAAAGGGAGCAACATGCTACAGGCAGACCATCAACCACCAGCCGGTCGTTGCCTCGACAGCTGATACTGAAGTCTTCAGTGTGTTTTTCATCTGTTCGGGCCGAGACCACAGTGGACAATACCCAAATGCCAAATGGAGTAATTGCCTACCTGACCCCGGGCCGCCTGTCTGCTCTAACCTCCGAGACTCTGTTTGCGGCTGATATACTTGAATTCCAACGTTCAAAGGTCGACGACGTGCCTTTTCATATTATCCAGCGCCATTGTCTCAGCCTCCCCTATTCCGCGAAGACACATAGCTGGCGTTTGGAGCTTTGAGTCTGATCTGGTTACTTGTATGATACTGGAAAACGCGTCAGGAAGAGATATGACTCTGCTTGTAATTGTATGGAAGCGATTTCGTCAGTGGCAGTCCAAAGAATCGGGTCTTTCTTGTGGGCAGGCACATGATTGCTCCCGTTGGCTCCCCTTCTAACTGTGCTACTTCACTCGTGAAGTTGAGGAATGTGAACCATATGGATCTTTCATCCCCCGTCCCTTGTTAGGCCGCGAGCTTCATTTCCCACATTCCAGACTGACGAACAGGTGTTTAACATTCATCAGACTTTTCAACCGATGGCCATCGCCATGCTTACAGGACCTGCAGTATCTTATATACGGAAACCTTCCCGGCCATTTAGACACCCTGACCGCTGATTAGTGCCCGATCTTTCCACAACCCTCGTTTCGTCACTCGTTCAATATCAAGCTAGTCGGTGCTTTTATTGCCCTTGTCCATTCTTTCACTCGCCAAGTTTTTGCACTTTGCAGGGGTAAATCTTGGGCATCTCACAATCACTATCACAATGGTTTGCCTCAAGCAAGTCGCGGCCCTGGCCGCCGCATCTTACGTAGCAGGGGCCTACGCCAGCGCCATCCCCGACCTCGTCGGCGGCGACGGGTCCCCTCAGCCCTCGATCCCCGCCCTTCGTGAGCGAAGCAACGGCATCAGCAAGCGACAGACGGCCGGCGGCTTCATCAACACGGCCGCCAACCCCATCACCAGCGACTGCGGCGTGGCGGCGGAATTCAGCCTGAACACGCTCGGCCAGCTCGTCGTCGGGGATTCAGTCATATCCGTGAACCCGGGGACGCCCTTCATCCCCCTCCGGCCCATCAGCCCGCCAGGAAGCATCACCGTCACCTTTGCTCTCCGCAACGGCGCGCTGACCTGGTCAAACCCGGCTTTCTTTGGCGGCCAGGCTGGGTTCTGCCAGGACGCGGCGGGCCAGGTATATGCTACCTTTGCTGACCCGACCGTGTCGTACCCAGCGAACTGCGCTCCCGTTCAACTCGGTCCCGTTGTTGGTATGTTTCCACCTTTCTACTTATTTTTTGTCTTGTTGGATGGAAGCTGTAAGACGCATGTTCACTAACACCAAGAAAAGCATCCACTTGTGGAAACAACGGCGGCACCACCACGGCGTCCGGCAGCGTTACCACTGTCGGCAGCACCATCGTCAGCACCGGCCCGGGCGGCAGCCTCACCACCACCGTCAGCAGCTTCACCACGACCGTCGCCCCGCCGTTTACCGTGCCGACGACGTCGGCCGTGGCCAACGGCACCCTCACCCTCCCGCCCGGCTTGTACACTGTAGCCGGCTTCGCCAAC